GACCAAGCTAACCTTGCTCAGATATTCCATAATTACAACTTACTGGTCTGCACCCTTTATCTCCCATGACTATTTCATTGAATTGGTTGATTGTATTGGAAGAGACAATTCTAAAAATAAAAAGGAACCAAGCCATATAGAGTCTTAATAAGGAAACTGTAAGACTTGAAAATTTATTAGAATTTGAAAGTGATATAGTACATTACCCCTCCCCCCCTTCTTCCTTATCTACAAACATTATTATTTCAGCATATTTTCCTGGAGTCTCATAGGTGCAAGCTGATTGTTTACCCTTATTCTATTGAAACAGCATTGTCAATGAAAACAACCAAGTTATCAGCATTCATTCCAAGGACTGCAAAAATAAGTCTTTTAAATAAATAAATAGGCAGGCCCATGAGAAAAAAAGCAAGTCAGGATCCAGCATCAGTGATGATCTAGACTATTCACTGTTTATTTTATTTTGAGTGAACACTACAAACTACGAAGAGAAAGAAGATAGTCTAGAGCAGGGATCTCCAACCTTGGCGACTTTAAGCCTGGTGGACTTCAACTCCCAGAATTCCCCAGCCAGCAAAGCTGGCTGGGGAATTCTGGGAGTTGAAGTCCACCAGGCTTAAAGTCGCCAAGGTTGGAGATCCCTGGTCTAGAGTACTATGAAAAGAAAAGACAAATTTGGCTGCATTTTGTTTTTCTTGTCTATTTATAGAAATACAGCACTGCTTATCTTTGGTATATAGCAGCGGTTGCCAACCAGTGGGCAGCGGCCCGCTAGTGGGCCGTGAGAAAATTTTGCTGGGCCGCGGAGAAAGCTTACCCCCAGAGCACCCCACAAAGCAATTAATCCAGGCTATGCAGAAACACAAGGCTGCGTCGCCCACATGGCCTGCGGGAACCCTCCCCGCCCACTCACTCCTTACCTGGTAAACTTGCCTGCTAAATTGCTATTTTTCCTTTTTGCGACCATCATCTATTCTGCTGTGCTGGGAGATTTAGATTAGCTAGGAAGTAGGAAATGGTTGGATTTCTTGCTTCCTAGCTAGTGTTTAGATCTTCGGCTCTGCACAGCCAAACCTCCCTTAGAACTGAAGGTCTGCTTGCAAGCAAATTCAATGCAGACTCACGGCAAGCAAATTTGAGAGACTGAGCTAGCCGATGGCAGATAGATAGATCACTGAATGATTCTGTGAGCAACTCAATCTGCCTGCTTTGCCTGATTTTGGGTAAAAGTTGCTCTTTTTTATATATAAAAAAATCAATATTTACATGCATGGTGTGTTGTGAGTTAAATTTTGTGAGTTTGCTTGCAAGCAAGTTTTATGTGACAGACTGAGCTAGCCAATGGCAGATAGATAGATCTCTGAATGAATCTGTGATTCTGTGAGCAACTCAATCTGCCTGCTTTGCCTGATTTTGGGTAAAAGTTGCTCTTTTTTAATAAAAAATTCAATATTTATATAAATATTTACAATATTTACATACAAGCCATGCCCAGCCAGTCACATGACCACCAAGCCACACCCACAAATTAGGCTATGCACACAGAACCGGTTAGTGGTCCCTGGGATCTAAAATTATGAGTTTGCTGGTCCCTGAGGTCCAAAAGGTTGGCGACCCCTGGTATATAGTACCATTTTTATAATATTATTATTAATTCCCTAATAATTAAACTAAGGTTAGTTTCAGACCTTCTAAATATTGAATTCACTTTCTATTTTTTAAATGGGTTCTGTTGAATTTAGAATCCTGATCGCATACATTATCTAGAAGTGGTAATGTGAGCTAAGTAAAAAGGTTAGGATTTAAATCCAATAAATACATAAATTGCTGTTACTAAATAATCCTTTCACAAGCCTATGCAGGCTTTGTTATGACTGTGTTTAATAACAGGAAATTTATTTTTCTCTGTTGCATTGCATTGCATAATATTTAAATCTTTTAATTTCTTCATTAGAAATAGAACCTGTATTTGTAACAAATCATGTATTAATAAAAGTATTTTTAAAAGAACAAATGCTAAGACTTATTACTTTCGAAGAGAGATTTTGTTTGATACTGTTCTCAGCCAATTTACTGTTTTCCATGATTTTCCTAAAAATTTTTATCCTTTCAAAAGTACCTGGGTACTGAAATAGTTTTGAATTGAAAAAAACATCACAATAGATTCTTCTAGTGTAAAAATGCTATAATAACAAAAAACGTTGAAGAAATTTATTTTTGTTTATTTAAGCAAAAGAATGAAATGAGTTAAACCATAAGCCATTAGCTGCCTGCTATTTCTTCTTCTAATGTTTTAGGGATAGGAATATAAAATGTGTTAAAGAGGAGGCTGTGGCTATATATTCTGGAAAGGAAAATACAAAATTTTATTAAAGTCATTTTAGTGTTTGGTCATCTTCTACAGGCAAAGCAGTTCAATTTATAATCAAAGTTTATGATAATCAGGAATAGGTTAAAATAGAAGCTTCTACGGTAAAGTATATATAGTTTAATTTATTTGAACTATATGGCCACATTTACATCTGCAATATATAACTCATCTATTGAGTTTACAACAGTTTACAATGTTTTAGTTCATGTCAAATATAGATGCTATTAAATTAGAATATTTGCCCACTCATACTCTAGTGTTTCACAAGCATCTACCAGAATCTGGTTTTCCAGCAACCTGTAAATAAGATGCTTCTCATCAGAGAAAGTAAATAATGAATGTTTCCTTGCTGAGATGGATGCATAATACTATATATATCAGATAAGATATTCATGTAACTTTTTTAATAAGTGTAAAGTGTCAATATTTTTTAAAGAGCCTATATGTTTTAATTTCAACAGTCATTTTAATATTTTTCTACTTTATGTCAATTAAGAACTATGACATTTATACCAATTTATTGTTTTCTCTCTCTCTGTATATATAAATTTGTTCACTTCACTTGAGATATAAGCAAATATATACAAAACTAAATATATGAGGGCCTGTAATCACTTTTAAGTCTTGCTGCTTTTTGAATATCTTTTTAAATATCTTTTTAAAGGGAAGTAGGTCTTTGTTCTTTTCTATGAACTATAAGCCTTTATTCATTAGGTTAGTCTAGTCATAGCTATATGAATGGTGGAAACATTTACCTTTTGACAACACATAATGCTTTGTGGTTATGAATCATTGGTATTCCTGTTTATCTGTCCTAGTGTCCTTATGTTTCTAGGTCCCTAGTCTGCATTCTGAATCTCAATGTTATTTCTCCTCAAATTTGTATTCTACAGTAAGTTATGAATAAAGATCAATTGCCACCTTTTCTCCCAATGGGGGAAAAAAATGTAGTTCCATCCTTCCAAGGGATGTACTAAAACTTTCTTTTAAATGGTAGTTTTAAATGGGTCTGATGGAAAAGAAATTGTTTGGAAATAATAACCAATAAACTAGCATGTGAAATAGAAATAATGCTTCCCTCACTACAAGCATCTTTAAGAAGAAGTAGAATAAGTCTGGTTAGGCTACATTTTATATGTTAAACTGTGTATTCTGAATCTTGGTCCTTTTGACATGTTAGTTTTAAGACTTTGATGTTTATTTTCCATCAGAAAGAGAAAGGAAGGAATACTACAGAAAGCCCTAAATCCTTATTTATATATGCCAACTGGGTTGTACTGTTGCCATAAGTAGTTTTCTGACTACTTCCTGAAAAAATATGCACAAAACTTTGCATGTTTATAATTTAAATCGTGAAATCAATCTAAATCTTACAATCAGCCAATCTCTGCTAGTAGGTCAACATTAAGGTCTGTTGCTTTGATAGACATAAGCCACAGGGCCTCTTCAGTGCCATACTTTTATTTCATCCCACATTCAGCATTTCTGAGGCAACAAAACATCAATGCCATGATATAATGGAAATACAAATATGAAATGCTTAGTGTTTCAATACACAGAGTTAAAGGGTTGAATTAGACCATTAGACGTCAAAGAACATGCACAAAATAAATGATCAGTTAAATCTAGAAACATTGAAAACCATTCTGATGTACTTGAAATGTATACCCTGTCCTTGTGACATAGATATAGTTTAAATTTAAGTAAGTGCTGTAAATCAATTTGGTTAAGCAAACATTATTACATATAACAATTACCAACATGCACTAATGCATGCTTTGGGTGAAAGCAACTTCTAAAGGTACAAATGAAAAAGGCACATATTAGTAACTTTGGTATGATGAAAGGAATCAAAGGAACATTTACTGAAGTGAGGAGAAGCATGAGCTACACAAAACAGGAAGTTGGAGTTAAAAAACTTGCATTTGTTTGACTACAGCGACTGAATTAACTAGCAATTACAGGCATTATATTTTTAGAAAAGGGTAAAAAGGTTTTTTTTTTTAAGAAGGGTAAAAAGAGTGTAAGTGAGATGCCAAAGAACAGAAGTTGCAATTATCAAATAAAGACATAATTACTCAAGACTGAGTAAATAGCTGTGCTTGTTAAGTATGTTGCGAGCGTTACTTTAAAAAAAATTATAGAACACAGAGCAATATACTTCATTTTTATGAAGTAATGCTTTTCTTTTGGGCAGTTTCAGCATTGTAAACAATGTTTTCTATTGCCTCCTAGTCTTTTCTGGTTTTAAATAATTAATGAAAGAGTTCTGGGTAATCATATAGAAGATATTATTAGCTTTAATATGACCCTTTATTTTATGACAAATATATATAAGCAATATATTTTAATTTTAATACTTTTGAAAGCAGTTCTGTTACCAGAAGCATGTTTTTAGGAGTATCTTTGTACTAAAGCACATATATTGTAAGATCATTAGAGACACAATGAAATAGAAAGGAAAGCATTAATACATTACTGTGAAGTTAGATGCTAAAGTATAATTTTCTAACACCTTCTGAGTAAATAGAAACATGTAAATTGTTCAACAGAATTCATGCAAGTGATTTTTTTCCCCAAATGAGATTCTTGCATATATTATTATTATTATTATTTTTAAAAAATCAACTTACCCTTCTCTATGAGCTTCTCCCTTTTCCAACTCCTGAATAACACCCAACAAGACCTTTATGGTTTCCTGACTGGAGCTGATCAGATTCTCCATCATCTGTAGCTGTGCTTTCAAATCTACCACTTCAGTGTGAGGCACAATTTGTTGACATCTTTCACTCACAGCAACTGCTGTCTGACAAGGCTGTTTTCCTTCCATAGGTGAAACATTTATGTGAAGGGTCTGTTCGTTACATTGGGTAGACTGGCACTGTGCCTGTGTGGGACAGGCCTGAGCTGTACTTACAGCTTGTGACAGCAGACCATTAAGATGCAGAGTTCTTTTTCTGTCTTCCTCCTCGGCTGGACACAGGGACCAGTCATTCCCTGTTGCTGCCGAATGTTGCTGGTCAGCCAGTGATGTGTGTGAACCAGATGCGGGCAAGTAGATAGAAGCTACTTCTGTCTTGAACACTTTTCCTTGGCTGGCTGGATTAGCTTCCTCATACCTCAATGGCCCAGTATGGTGTTTTGCTTTGTCATGCAGCTGGTAATCAGGCTCTTCTAAAACTGAAGCTGCTGAATCCTGTACAGAAGGAGGTTCTTTACTACAGCTGTGCAAATCAGTGCTTATACATGTCTCCAAACAGTTGTCCTTAGAAAACGGCTCTATTGCGTTCATGCGTTCATTAGTATGTGAAATAAATTCAGCTGTCACAAATCCAGGAACTTTCTTGCTGCACTGAACAGCCTCTCCTGAGATTTTGCTGTCTTTCTCTTTAATATCAATTAGGAATCCATTGTTTTGACTTGGAAAAGTATCAACTGAAGCTATGCTTTTGATTACATTTCCCTTTTTCCGGTCCAAAGGGAAGGTCTGGTAACACTTTTTAAGTTCAGGCGAAGTCTGAACTCCTGTACTTTTAGTAACATTAGGGATTGATCTTCGGGCAGGCACTGTCATGTATTTTCGGTAAGCTGCTCTGTAAGAGATGGGTTTTGCTTCCTTTTGGTCAGTCTGCTGTAACAAAGATAGTTGTTTGTCCCTTTGCTCATTCTGGGCTTCGCAGATGTCTTTGAATCTCACCTGTAGAGCTTTGTTTCTTTTCTTGATTTGCCGATTGGGATCCAATGCATATTTCATTTCTAAGGCAAGTGATGTTGCTGAATCAACTTCACTGTCAGAGACTGCAAGCGTGCATTTGCTGGGTTCCTCACTTCCTGTGGTACCTGAAGTCAAAAAGCAATGTTAGGAATATTGTTACTACCCTCGGCATAGATGTTTTTATTCAAATGGCATGATTTTTAAATGAATGAATAAAGTTTAGGATCTTGTAGCTACCTAAACATGAAGTCTCGCTTTTGTGAGTGGGAAGGTAGTGATTTTTGTGTGTTATAAAGTGCATAAATAACACCATCTCATGGAAAATAATGGATTAATAGATTAGAACTTTAAAAATAGTAATATGCCTACACGACAAAGGTAAATAATGAAATCCAAAAGACGTAGTAGTAAAAATGTGCAGATTTTCAAGTTAGCCAGAATTCCTGTTGGATAGGATGATACAACAATTAGACTAGATATTTTGGGGTCTTAAATAGTTTAGACTCAGACTGCATACTAAAATTATATATATATACTATTCCTGAATAGTTGTAGACATCTGACTACATCCTAATACAAACAAATAAGGGGTGAGCTCCTCCTTCCTTATTTCAGAAAATAGTCTTCTCACTGCTTTTCTTTGGCAAAAAATATACAGATAGTCCTTCATTTATTACTATAGTGGAACCCAGAATATCCATCATAAATCAAGGCATCCACAGACTGAACCTGATTTTCTTATTGTTTTGCTCCAGTTGTTAAACAAACACCATGGTCAAGTGAATATGGCAGTCATTAACAAGTGGTTGTTAAATACAAATCAGTGTATTCCTATGGGCATTTTTTATTGGAAACCAGCCAAATAAGGCTGGAAACTGGCAAAAAAATGTCATAAATCATACTCACATCACCATGGAATGCTGCAATCATCCATAAAGGTGAGCTGCCAAGTACCTGAAATGTGATGTGTGCAGCCATCAGAACTTTGGAATGGGGTCATAAGTAGATTTTAGGTGGTGTGTCATAATTTTGAATGGTTATTATGCAATAGTCATAAAACAAGGACTATCTGTAGTCTTATAGAGAGAAGTGTATTCAAAACATTTTATGTACTTTTATTTACTTATCTTAGGAAAGATAAATACGGCTTTAAACTGTCTTATGCTGACATCATGACTTAGTGTAATATCACTGCCTTCCAGATGTAAATAAGACAGGAAGCCTTCAGAAATGCATTATGATGTTTAAAGGTTCTTGCTTAAACATGTATCGTTAAGAATATTCAAACCTGGCCAAATGAACAACTATTGGCTATGGCTGAATGCTCTCCATATTTACGCAGAAATCATTTTTTCCATAGTGAGGAGAGGTGGGAGGGGAAAAAGCAGCTGAAACAGTTATTTTAAAATGTTATATATTGTTGATGTTTTAATGCTATACAGAAGATATTTTCATTCTGAAGAATGATTGTTACTGAATAATTTTGGTAACTAACATATCCTTATAATTACCTTTTACTTGGAGATTCTTCATTTCATTTGCTACATTTGTTTGATGACAGCATAATTAACTCTTGAAGAGATTATAGATGGAAACAATTTACTGTAAATTTAAAATAATAAATTTAGGCCATGAGATTAAATCTCTTCAATGCAGAAGCCTCAATTAATTTTTTTTAGGACAAACAGATCTGCATTTATTACTAGTCATTTTGGAACTGAAACTGATTGCAAATTGGAGGATACTTGTTATTTTTAAGAATGTTTAAGGGAAATGCCAATGTATATAAACAGCCATCTGTTTTAAAAGTGTTCTTATTTCTTTTTAGGTAAAGTTTATACTTCTGAAAATGTGACCCGTAACTGCTTTCTTGGCAATGGAACCACCCACATTTATTGCGCTTCAAATTACCACCCAAAATTTATTCCCCAATGGGTGGTTCCATTGGGGAATAAATTTTCTACAAAAAACACATTGCCTTACTTTTAATATGATGCATCAAACCTATACCTTTATAGAGTATTCATACAGAAATAAAGAAATGTTAATTTTAAACAGCAAAATATTAGTTTGTGCTATCTACTTAACATCCCTACTTTGTTCAATTGTTAAATGTAACTAAGCTGTTGCAGGTGGCAGTTTCCTTCCACTTAGGGAGAAGAATCACATCTTAATTTATTACCTTTCTTTACATATGTTTTAAACTTTTAGCCTCAGGGGTGGGATTCTACCGGTTCTGTCCAGCTCTACAGAACCGGTAGCTTTGAAAAGCAGCAGACACAGAACCGGTTCTGTGTCTGCTGCTGTTTTGGCCCACCTGCCCACCCGGGCTGTTACTTGTCCTTTATTTCCTGCTTTTTCAACCGCAGCTGCTTTGCGTGGCACAACTGCGGTTGAAAAAGCAGGAAAAAAGGGCTTTTCCAACTGCTGCGCACCTGCGCACAGCTCAGCAGGTCGTAAATTGCACTCGCGTGACTCGCGCATGCATGCGCGACGCGGAACAACAGAACCGGTAGTTATACCAGTCGGATCCCATCCCTGTTTAGCCTGATTGCTAAGACAGAAAAATAAGGTATTTCTGAAGAACAATGCCAAATTTCATGCAAAGAGAATATAACCATGGTTAATTTTTATCCATTTTCACTATGCCTTTGGGTTGGACAGTGAAAAAAGGTGAGGGAAATTTTTTAAAAAAATTAAAGCCTGCTATCTTTGTTATAGAATAACAGTTTATAGAATAAAATGAAGAGAAAACACACTTAAAATGGAATAACAAATATCATTTGCACTTATATATACAATTTGGTGTAGTGGTGAAGACATCTGGCTAGAAACTAGGGGACCATGAATTCTTTGCCACGAAGCCAGTTGGGTGGCCTTGGGATAGTCACTTTTTCTCAGCCATAGGAAGGAAGCAATGGCAAGCCATTTGCGAAAAACCTTGCTAAGAAAACTGTAAGAACTTGTCCGGGTAGTCTCAGAGAACCAGACATAATTGATTTTTTAAAAAAGGTCAGTGTATATTTGGTCACTTCAAATAAATGTGTAACCCAAAACAAAAGTAGCAAAGTCATTCAAAATAATTAAGAAGGATTTGCAAGAATTTAGAGGTTTCATATACCCCAAAGCCAAGGAGTTAAATAGTATTATGGAGAAGGAAATACTACCGTGTTTCTCCAACAATACGGCCTCCCCCAATAGGAAGTCCCAGCACGTTTTATAGGCATAAAATGAAATTAAGCCCCTTCCCCCCAAATTAGGGCCTATTTTAAAACATGCGAAATGGGGGGAAGGGCAGGGGCTTGCCGTTAGGAGCGCCCTGCGGGCAGCCATGCCTTGCCACCAACCTCCCTACTGTCACCATGTACTTTTGCTGCATACTCGGGTATGGTGCTGCCTGCGTTGACCTCGGCGTTGGTGGGGCACTTCGTATCGGGAGCCCTTCCGCCACCGTTGCTTTCCCTTCTCCCCATGCCGCTGTGGCGTTTGGAGCATTGCCATGGCATTTGGCACAGCCACGCGGGGCCGGCCAGGGCTCCTCCCTGCAACCGGAGCCCGGCAGAGACACTCGGCTTCAGGCGCTCCTGTCGCTGCCTTCCCGGGCATCGTTCGAAGGCAAAGCCCATTCTTTTAAAAATAACACCCTACTACGACAAAGCCTCACCTGCCCGAGAGGGCAGCCCAACCCCGCATGGGGAGGCTAATCTCCTGGGGCCGCAGTGCAGGATTAGCCCACCCTGGGAGAAGCGCCTAGCCACCATCCCTGCCTGGCGCTCTCGATATGAAGTGCCCCACCAACGCCGAGGTCAACATCCAAGCTGTCACCGCCTGCCCAAGGATGCAAGGGGGGGAATTAAGTCACCCCCAAAAAGACGGCCTTGCCGTTTTTTCAGGGCTCAAAAAAAAAAAAAAAAAGAAATACGATACATTTGCATAAAACAGGAGTAATATATAAAATCATTTGGTGGCATGAGAAAAGGAAAGTAATGATCACAAGATTAAGCCTATCAGTAAGTATACTAATAGCTTATAGTTTTTGAATACTGAAATAGCCGCTTTATTACCTTGAAAATGAAGTGCACATTCAATTTCATTCCAGCAGCCAAGAAAATAAATTCAAACTAGTTCACAAACATCATTCATTTTAGCTACTCTGAAAGAACTAAATGTATACTGTTTAAAAGACAAATGCAAAAATCTGTCCATCTTTAATATTTCTGTATATTCATTACTTTGGTGCAACTGTAAAGTAAAGTTGGTTAGTGAATAAGAATTCGGTATGCTTCAATACAAGTAAATACATGTATTATAACACTGAACTAAATATATCTGGGACACAAAGGACTTTAAGATAGTAATTTGATTGATGAATTCTTCTTTGCTAAGACTCTTAAGTGCAAGAGTTCTGTTTGCTCTTTCTTTTTAGAAAATGAAGTGTGCTGACTGATTTTAATTTATTAATTTTTACAATGTACCAGTTCATTATAAAATCACTGGGATTCTTTCATTTCTCCTGCCTAACAAGTATGAGGAACAACTAAAATTAAATATAGAACACAATAATTGTTCACCTATCTCACAGGATGAGAAGACATATAGCACTATACTTAGATACAAGTAGGTACCAAATAAAAATACTAAATAGGGAATAGGGAAAAGGTCATATTTTAGTATTAAATTGCTGATATCCCATGCAGGTTTTTTTGGTTAATTTTATGGTTTAGAAACAGCCAGTGGGCTTACTTATTTGCTTAAACAGTAGTTTTGAAAATTAAATACTATGGGGTGATACCTTCTAGAAAGAAATGTGAGATTAATAGTGGTAATATTCAACCATATTGGTATTTTGTAAAACTTTGAAAACCTGGATGTTGGATCCTTTAGGTTGGGGTAAACTCATCGTTGCAGCTTTCTCACATAACCATGGCTGGATTCTGACTGCCTTTGGATGCCACCTGTGCTGTAATTGGGTCTATGTTTGCTATTGTTGTTATTTATTCCTTTTGTTCGATTGGCTTTAATCCTGCGTTTACTGCCCAGAATCACTATGCATAAACCAACTATAAATAAATACAGAAAAAAACTCTAACCTTTATGAACACAGTAAATGGGAACTAATTCTCAAATACATTTATCTATATGATGAGTCACTTGTTTAATAACTGTAGCTTGATTTTTTTTTCTTCTCCAGTCAATATATAATTTATATGAGGCTTCTTGAACGAGTTATATAAATATTTTTATATAAACTACTGCACATCACGCTGCGTGTATAAAAGTTCTATTAGATAAAACCAATGGAAATACAGGGACATACCACTTACTTTCATCATTAAGGGATTGTGAGGCTGGAGATGAAAGATTCCTCATCTCATGATCAGTTCCTTTGGCCATCGTGTTACTTAGCCTAAAATATAACAAATATACTATTACTAATTGGTTGTACACTGTACTGGAAAATAAAACCCGTTTTTAACTTCAAGTGTTTATGGAAACATTGAAATAATTCATTCTTTCAGAGAACACAAATAATGCTTGAATTACCTAATTCTGAATACTGTTAGGTTGCCAACACTTCTAAAAATCTAACAGTATTCAAACAGAAAAAATTTTAGAAGTTCAAAATATTAACCACTAAGCAGATTTTAGACATTTGTTTAGTGCAAACTTTAGTATACATTCACATGGTTTTCTTATTGCCATTAGACACTTTATGATTGAGCTTGTAAATTACTATCAACAGGTAACATAATTCCTGACCTATGACCATTTGTTCAGTGACTGTTACAATAGTGTTGAACAAATGATTAATCACCGATCCTAAAAATTCTGGCCATCCCAATATCCCATTGCCTGATCTCCATTTGCAACTTTCCATTGTTGGCTTCCTCAGAAAGGCAGTATGGATATGGAAACCAGCAGGGAAGGTTGCAGGTCTGTCGCCCCACCCGCACATCAGTCCCTCTGTGCGTGTGCCAGCCACTGAACATTTACCCCAACCTGCACCTTCCAACCTGTGGGATGTCTCTTGTACAACTTCCCCAACTTACTTGCACACCCGACCCACAACTCGCGTGTACTCTCTCAGCTTCTCTTGTGCACTCCTTTGCACTGCACCTCTTGCATAGTCTCCTGCTCAACTTCACTCCCTCTCCCACCCAGCAGTAGCCATTTATTTGCCTGCAGACCTGGGACTCTTAACTTTCCACCAGCTTCTCCACTGACTTTGGTTGTAGGAAGCCCAAGAACATTGCCTCACTTAACAACTCTGTTAATCAGTTACAATGGCAACTGAGACTACAGGGATTGTTGTCACTAAGCACTGCAGCTGTGCTTTATGACTGCATCACTTATTGACAGCAATCCCTGCAGTCCCAGTCGCCTTTGTAAGTCAAAGAATACCTATTTGTAGGTAGTTTTTATTTAAGGATTAAGACCCTATCACAGTGATGGTGAACCTATGGCACGAGTGCCATAGGTGGTACGCAGAGCCATTTGTGCGGGACACGAGCCCCAGCCAAACTTACCTGCACTGTACATGTGCGCTCCTCCCAGCTGATTTTCAGCCCATTTGAAGCCTCCTAGAAGCTCGAGGGAAGCCTTTTCAGGCCAAAAAACGGGTGTTTCATCACTTCTTGTATTTCCAGAAATACCGGAAGTGACGAATGGGCCAATTTTTCGGCCTCCAAAGGCTGCAGAGGCTTCCCTCGAGCCTCTGGAAGGCCGAAAAAGACTTCAAAGTGGCCGAAAATCAGCTGAGAGGCTCACAGTGCAGATAAGGAGGCAGTGGGGGAATTGTGTGCGCCATACGGCAGGGTCGTGGGAGGGGAGGCCACACATGTTGCCTTCTGGGTGCTGGCACACAAGCAATTTTTGGCACAGGAGCCCTATCATTATACCATATGCCAAACTAATTCCAAAAATACTACCAAATGCCCAAGTCCATTCTGTAATATATCAGTTTTTATTGCTTCCTCTATGTCAGGGGTCTTCAAACTTGGCAAGTTTAAGACTTGTGGACTTCAACTTTCAGAATTCCAGAGCTAACATGACTGGAAGAGGAATTCTGAGAATTGAAGTCGACAAATCTGCTCTATGTGAAGAATTTGTCTTAGAGTTTTTTATTTTTGTCTTGTACTTCTTTACAGAATTTGATTTTCCTATCCATCTTGTACACTTTTAAAAAAATGCAACTGTATATTGCTTCCTTTTACGGAATGGAACAGGCAATCTGACTTCCCCATTGACGATGCTTGTCAGGTCGCAAAAGGTGATCACACAACCCTGGGACACTGCAACCATCATAAATATAAGTCAGCTGCCAAGTACCTGAATTTTGATAATGTCTTCATAGCGATGCTATAACCGTCGTAACTATAGAAAATATGTCACTTTTTTCAGTGCCATTGTAATTTTGAATGGTCACTAAATGATCTGTTGTAAGTTGAGGACTACCAGCCACTCAGAGTTGGTTTAAGATGGGTAATTATACAAATGTTGAAATCAAAAAACAAATAAATCATTTTAATCTAGATTAAAGTCCATGTGTAAATCATCCATTTGGAGAATTTCACCAGTTGTGAGGGCAGTGAAGAAAACATACTATTGAAGTAACAGGGTTTCCCCCAAAAAACATCTATCTCTACTAGGATTCATATACTGGTATTAATCAAAACATTTGGTAAATAGCTATGTAAAATTTGTAGGTCAACAACAGTTGATTCTGGGAGTTCTGATGTTAGAAAAGATAACATTAATAGATCAAATTGACTATTGTTTGCCTAGCTATTCTGGATTCTAACTAAATCACAGTACTTACAACAAGGTGTTTCAAATGACAAGGGCTATCTTTTGTTTCTTCAATCTTTGCCCCTACATTCTAATTAAATTAGGTCCAGAGCTGGTGGTAATTAATGAATTTTTAAAGGTTAGATTTACTATTTAAAAGATTTAATTTTTAGTTTTACAATTAGAGTTACATACAAGAGGAAATTATAAGAATACTTTAAAAAAAACCTCTCCCTTCAATTTGGAGAAAGTTCACAATCTGATTGGAGAAATTATGGCCCTACCTCTATTTTCATAAGGATTAACCCAATCCAATGAAGTGACCAAATCTGCATCATCAATTTGTAGGAGAGATATGCAACAGCTGCCACAAACTGACCATCTTGACTTATGCTGTCTCACACAGATCTGTTGTACTATTGTGTCAACATACAAATGTAACCTCTGGGTTTTGGAATGAGGTTTTATAAATGTGTTTATAAAAAACAGATGTTTCAACTATGCTGAGGGGCTTGTTATCTAACGAAACAGTAGAAATATGACTTTGGTTTTACATGAGTGAAAGCAAAGGCAAGGCATTTGGTTTTACAATTGTTCATTATTTGTATTTTCTATAGCCTTTGACTTGTTCACTATTTTGGGCAGTTTACAAGAATTATAATCAATTTTGTAATATTAAGGTTTTTGTTTTTTTTTAAATGGCCATACTGAGACAGTATCAGTCTCAAGTTAGGTCACAAAACATCCCGTCCCATTGTATATGTAAACGGCTACTTTTTAAAAGTTCTTTTGGGCTCGATGATTAAACAAGCTTAAGTTACTTCTAAATAGGACGGTACTGTAGATCATTAGAAAGACCCTTGGACTGCAATTCATCCCTGTTGCGGAAGGGATTCTACTCTCACCGAAAATACTTCATCTGGAAAGACTTGCTTCAACTACCCACAATGAAGCAATTAATTAGAAATGTGTTTGCATAATTATGTTTGTTGCTACTTTTTTTCCTGAGTGTCAAAAAAGATTTGCACAAGTTTTAATGAGTGAAATGTATGGCAACCAAACTGTTAATACGTACACAATATGGTTACTACAGGTAGTTGTTGACTTATGACTACAATTGAGTCCAAAATTTCTGTTAACTGAAACATTTGTTAAGCCCATTTTACTACCTTTCTTGCCAGTTAAGTGAATCACTGTAGTTGTTATTAACACAGTTGTTAAATGAATCTAGCTTCCCATTGACTTTGCTTGTCAGAGTCGCAAAAGGGGATCACATGACCCCAGGACATTGCAACCGTCATAAATATGAGCCAATTGCCAAACATCTGAATTTTGATCACGTAAGCATGGGGATGCTGCAATGGTTGTGTGAAAATTGATAAGTCACATTTTTCAGTGCTGTTGTAAATTTAAGCAGTCACTAAATGAACTGTTTTAAGTCGAGGACCACCTGTATATCATTCTCACACCAATTCACAAGAAATTGTGTTTGTTTGTATGCACCTTTGAACCAGTTTTTGACTCCCACTGATTGTCTGAACAAGTCCATGCAGTTTTCTTGGGAAGTTTTTTCTAAAGTGGTTTTCCACTTCCAAAGGCTGAGAGACTGGTGTAAGATCAGCCAGCTGGCTTTGTCTAAGGCAGGACTAGAACTCAGTCTCCTGATTTGTAGTCAATGCCTTACCCATTACATCACTGTCAATGAAGTGATTCTGCATTTAAGGACTTAAATGACTGCGAAATATGTGTGTGTGTGCGCATGTGTGCACACTCATGCACATACTCCACCAACTTTAGAATGTACAGGAAAATCCATTTTAACTCCCAGCAATATGAATGAAAAAATAACAGAAGTACAAAAGGATATAATGATTGAGTTGAAATTCTTTAGGTTTTTTTTTACTTTTTAGTGTAATTTTTTTAAAAAAGCGGGGGGAAGGCTATTGAACCTGTAACATAGCACAGACTAAATCCACAATCTAGTAAAATGACTGCATGCTTCTAGTTTAATCTGTCAAATATTCTATTGGTCCCATATTCCACTTATTAAGAACTGAGTTATCATTTCAGTTTAGCCCATTATTTGGTAGCTGTATTTCATACTCAGAAAAAAACATTAAAATCATTTGGACAGTGTGAACCTTTCACTTCTACATGATGCCAAACTTTGATGTTCATATTTGTCATAAGAACCCACATTAATATGGGGGGGGGGGGGGGATGATGGCATTAATTATTTAACTGAAGCCAGAAAATATAATGCAGAAGTCATAACATCTTTGCTTATTATACATAAATGTTAAAACAGTTCGAACTATGTATGTATATATATATATGTTATACACACACACACACAGAGAGAGAGAGAGGCAGGTTAATTTCAGGACTCAGAAAATACTTTCACATAGCTTCAATGCTGATTGATTAAATGTTAGTTAAAATGTGGCAGTTACAAAAGAAGCCAAGCAAAGAGGAATAAACATATAAAATAATTTGGGTATACTGCTCAGGTACTATATATATATGTCATTCTGAGCACTTTCTTATGAAATTCAGGATAGCACTCAAAGAATAAAGTTCAAGAATAGCTCAATAATAAGATTGCA